TACAATTTGTGGGTGATGAATTTATTCAGAACCTGGATGGTGATATTTCTGCTCCATGTAGGAGTGATGGAGGTGAACAAGTACTATTTGGCTGGTGGATTGATAGGACCAAGAAAACTTCATTCACATATGTGGCACCTTGGGGATGAGAGATGGATATATAATTTGGCTCACTGGGGGATATACATCTGAAATTTCAGAATTTTAGAAATAGTTCTGCCTGAAGATGGCTGATAAAAAGGAAGCATCAGTTATCTCAGAGATACCTGCACCAGATACCTCCTTCCCGAAAGATCCTAGCCAACAAAACCTTGTTGAGCTAAAGTTGACCAGCCAGTTGGATGTCAATCAGCTCAACCATCTTTGTTAGCTATCATCTGTCTTTTGATCACTGTGCTTATATAAAATCTTACCTGGGCCACAAAGTGCATTTTTGCCTTGATTAGTCTCACAATAAAATACTCTGGCCACCTTCCAAGCACTTGGAAGTGACTCTTCTTTCCTATTTTTCATGCAATTGTATTGACTTTGTTGAGGTCCATCCATTTCTGTGAATATGAGCATTCACTCTTGCTTCTTAATCATAAGGCTTGTTTTGCTTTATTGGTTTATCAATCCTATTTGGTTTATCATCCTATTTGGAGCCTTCAGCACTTCTCCGTGGGATGCTCACCATCCATATTTTTATGGTTCTGAACCTGGAGTAATTGGAGTGATGCTTACAGAACATAATTAATATATTCAAGAGATCTTATGTCATGCAAATGAAAATGGTATGTTAATAATTACTAGAAGTATTCGCACTTATTGGGCATTTGCTGTGTGATGAATAGTCTTCCATAAGGTTTATGTATATTAATTCACTTAATCATCATAATGACCCCATGAGCACATATTAGCAGATAAAAAAACATTTGAGGCAGAGAAGTAAGTAATGTGCTCAAGGTTACACAGCTAGTTGAAACTTGGCTTCTTATTCCTCACATAATTCTATCTGCATCATTTTTGAAGTGATTAAATCAGTCTGATACATTTCTTAACCTTACTTTTTCCAATAACTCTTGCTTGAGATGCAATTCACATACTATAAAGTTCACCCTTTTGGTCAATAGATACTGTGAAGTGGAAAGAAACTACTCAAAGAGAAGGAACAATTGGGATCAGGGAAAGGAGAAAAGATAGAAGGGAAGAGGTATATGTATATACACACAGGATAACTTGAGTAATTGTGCAGCTGGTTTCTATCATTCTATTGAAAAGAACAATTAGTGCTGAGATCTTTTTTCTTCTTTTTAATCTTTTGACCAATTTTGCATGGTTCTATGTGGTAATCTGAACAACTAATTTGAAGACAATAATATCCAATGTAACAGTGTGTAAAGTAGGGGCACATGCATCCTCCCAAAACTGAGCACCACCTGCAGGATCTGGAGCGGACACTGGGTACCAAGCCGTCAGAGCCAGGTGCTTATTGGCTTGCTTGCTTGCTTGTTTGCTGTTTTTCTTTCTTTCTTTCTTTCTTTCTTTCTTTCTTTCTTTCTTTCTTTCTCTTTTTATCAATAGGATTTATTTATAAAACTATTTTTATCAATAATTTTATTTATAAAACCTGAAATACATACTTTTAGTCTTACAAGAGACTTTATTCAATTTCTATCATCTTGTTTAGAGAAATTCTCTATTGTTGCTAATTTTTTTATTTTACTACTTTTTATTCTCTTTAAATAAGTAAATACAGTGGATTAAAGTACCTGCAAGCAGGCACAGAGGCCAGGGCTTTGATCTCCAAGCCTGCCATGCCAGCCCCTCCCTGTGGGCATGTTGAGATAGTAATTGAGACTGGGCATGGTGGCCTGCTACTGTAATCCCAGCTCTTGGGGGCTGCAAACAGGTGGATCACTATGAGTCTGATCAAGTAGTGAGACCCTGAACACCCTGTAGACTCTTCCCTAAAGTACTAAATAAAGAAAGAAAGAAGGCCAGCAAGATAGCTCAGCAGACTAAAACATCTGCTTAGGGAAGCTTAGGTGAGCACTGGAATCACAGTTTTATTCCCGGCACCACATGCTGTGCCTGCTCCACCCGGGGCATAATGAGCCAGCCACAGACTCAGGGTGTGGTGGCACATGCCTATAATCCCAGAGCTGGGGAGGCTGAAAAACAGGAGGATTACTATGAGTCTGAGATGCATGGTGAGACCCTGTAACAACCAAATACATTATAAATAAATAAAGAAAGAATCCTTCTATTAAGAACAAAGTCTCCAACACTCAATGCTAATGCCATTTTCTCTTAGAAGACTAAAAATATGTATTTCAGGTTGTATAAAGCCTATTGATAAAAAGAGAAAGAAAGCCAATGAGCACCTGGCTCTGAAGACTTGGTACCCAGTGGCTGCTCCAGATCCTGCAGGTGGTGCTCAGCTTTGGGAGGACCCGTGTGTCCCTACTTTGCACATATGTAAGACTGGTAGATGTTGAGGCCTGGATACTGGAAATTGCCTGTAAGAGTGAAAAGGTTGCAAATGAGTGAGGGTTTTTATATTGTTCTTTTTGTTTTACTCTCTGTTTATAACAGAGGTTCAGGCTTTCTTCACAGTTACTGCATGCATTCATTTGGAACTCATGGCTTACTTGTAAGGGTCACTTGAAGTTTGTTTAATCTAAACATACATTTGCAGCCATTATTTTATGTGTACTGCATGGTAAATGATATGTTTTGTATCTGAATGTCCCCTCCATAGTCTCTACACTCAGGGATGGGACTTCATGGGAGGTGATTGGATGATGCTGCCTTGGTCTTGGGAGGTGGGGCCTGGTCAGGAGAGGTCAGTGACTGTAAGCCTGACCTCAAAGAATGTATCTACCTTCCTGGCTTGCCCTGCACTCTGCTCCTTGTTGCCATGAAGTGAGAGGTTTTCCTTGACCAGTCCCTCCACCATGCCAATCTGCCTTGGAACCAGCTGACTGTGGACTGCAATGTAAGCCTAAATAAACCTCTCCCTTGAAAATAAAGTTCATCTTTTTTAAGTGTAAAATGAAGTGGAATTTAGTATATTCATACATTGGGCATCAATTGTCAATATATAACTCCAGAACATTCTATCACCCCAAAGAAAAAGTATTGCTCATTAAAAGTTGCTCCCCATGTTTTTCTGTCCACAGCCCCAGGAAATCACTACCTACCCCTTTTCTCTCTAAGCTGTTCATGTATATGGAATAATGTAATACATGGCCATTCACTACAGGCTTCTTTGACTTAGCATAATGTTTCAAAGGCTCTTTTATTTAATAGCATCTATCAATTTTGTTTTCTTTCTTATGAACAAATGACACTCCATTTTAAGGCTATACCTCATTTTTTTATTTATTGGTACATGTTCATGGTGCATAATAATTGCATTTATCCTGGAGAATTGGTACACATCTGTATCACATCTTAATCATTTTTATTTCCTCTTCCCCTTTATACTCTCTATCCCATTT